AACTCACTGGTTGGCTACCTCTGTATAATTTTCTTTGGTCCTAATATTGTTCATTCTATGCTTCTAACTCCAGTAATTGTAGCTTCTGAGAAAATGGTTTCTTTTACAAAATGGTTTCTTTTACAATGCCTCCACTGTGCTGGCAGTGCGTGGAGTCCTGGGTACAAATCTTTCTGAGGATCAAGCGATAGCCACTTGGGATGGAAGTCAGAACTGCTCCTTATTTGATTATTCAGTTACGTTTGATATCCATGAACAATAATGGGTTTGAAACCCCTTTTAGAGCCGAGGCAGTAAAAGTTTCCTCAGATAATTCAGAAAGGCCAGGAACAGGTATATTGGGAATATGACAAAAGGTTTTTAGAAAAAAAACTACCCAAGGTTTGTACATAAAGTGGAATGTTAAATTCTGGGAATGTTAGATTAGAGGATAATAGTGGCAGCCCCATAAACCGCCTCTGAATATAGTCAGTTTAACCCAGATGCTCTCCTTCCTCCTGAAAGTATATAGAAATGTGATAATTAAGAATAATGTAGCATTTTAGATATAGATAAATGAAGCCCGGTGCCTGAGATCTTGCTCATAAACAAAAGTTTGCCAAGTGTACAGAGACAGCTTGCTTTATGTTAAGTTTCCTTAAGAAACCGCTTGTCACTGCTCTAGATCATTTAAGCCTAAAAATTAATATATAACAGCTTGATTGAACCTTTTTTCTGTAGAAGTAAGAATTTTAGATTGTTAAGAAAAACTATGAAAATATTTTAAAAGTTGTTCCTGTGAATCATTATGTCCTGTTTTGAACGATTAATCACATTTCAGTTCTGTATCCTGTCTTTAATCACATCCTCCTTTTGTGAGTGAATTACATCCTTCCTTTGTAACAAATCCCTCCCTAAAAAAGAGAATAAAAGACTGAGGTAGAGTTAGTTCTACGTGCAATGCTAGGCAAGATGTTTGCAGATCTGTCTACCTGCCAACTTGCATCATATCTGTGTGTCTTTTTTGTATATATTTCGTCTCTTTCTCTATCCCTTTCGCCACCAGATTTCCCTTCTTCATGACACCCACACTTCCTTGTCGAGGCTGGAACCTGACATAGGACCTCGACAATCTACCACATAAATATGAAAAAGGAAAAGAACCACATGATCATACTGATTGATACAGAAAAGGCATCTGACAAAATCCAACATCCATTCCTGATAAAAAAAACCCTCAACAAAGTAGGAATTGAAGGGAAATTCCTCAACATAATTAAGAGCATATATACAAAATCAACAGCCTATATCACTCTCAATGGAGAGAAACGGAAAGCCTTGCCTCTGCGAAAGGGAATCAGACAAGGATGAGCTTTGTCACCACTCCTTTTCAATATTGTTTTGGAAGTATTAGCCAAGGCTATACAGCATGAAAGGGAAATTAAAGGCATCTAAATAGG